TTTAGGATAATAAAGAAATACAGGTTAATAGATAGTCATCTATAACAATAAAACTTATAGTCATGTTAGGTACGTTTTCAAGGTCAAACAGAGATATATTTTAAATATATAGGTGGTCTTAAAAGACTTATAGAATGTGGTATTTAAGATTGCTTTAATAACATAAAGTTTTTCATGAGTGAGACATGGCAGCACCAATCTACTTCAGAGAAGATGGTGGGCATCAAAGAACCTCCATTGGAGTTTGCTTTCATTTGTGGCAAAGTTAGCCATTGGGCAAGAAACTTCCCTTGCCTCAACAGCTGACAGAATGCTGTCCAAATTGAACAAGCAGGACACAAAAGAAAGCAACTGCTGAACTTTGCCAAGACAAGGTAGGACAGTCTTTCAAAATTCCTACTTCTTAGAAAAATCTGTCACATATTCTAGGTCTGTAGGCTGAAGATGGATGCCCCAATGTTGCAGAGGAACCTTGGGTGACTGTCCAGGCAGCCAGATGTTTCTGTCATTTCTGTCAGTTTTGGAAGGTGCTTGCTCTGTACTTCCTGTTTAACAGGTAATATTATATCCTTCTCAGGTCTCTGATGGCATTGAAGATGAGACAGTTATAGCACAGTTTTCTTTGTTACCAAATTCAAAAGAGAAATTCACAAAAGAGATATAAAATGTATAAAGTTGAGAGACATAAAAACTTAAATTGTTTATTAAAGAAATGTTTTGATGTCTAAAAAGATAGTTTTACAATGGTAATACAAGTTATAATAGAAAATGGTTTAGGCATAAAATTTTAATTTCATCAAAATAAGATAGATAATATGGTATTTTCTCCAAATATGCCAAACACAAAAGGACTGGACATTGTGAATGTATTTTTATCTGATAATTGTTCTTATTGTTTATGGTTCTATTATGTTAAAGTTAAAAACTTTTCCTTTTTTTTAGACAAAAAGAGGGAAATGTTGCAGAATATTCCTTTACACTGTGTGAAGATGTGTCACTATGATTGGTTTAATAAAGAGCTGAATGGATACTAGCTAAGCAGAAAGAGGTTAGGCAGGACTTCTGGGGACAGAAAGGACTAGAAGAGGAAGAAAGGCAGGGTTGCCAGCTAGACATGGAGAAAGCAGTACTGAGAGATGAGGTAAAAAGCCACACAACAGAATGTAGATTAAAATAAATGAATTAATTTAAGTTACAAGAGCTAGTGGGACAAGCCTAAGCTAAGGCCAAGCTTTCATAATTAATAAGTCTCAGTGTCATTATTTGGGAGCTGGTAGCACAGAGAAAGACTTACAAAACAGATGGATCTGTTTTGATTAACAGGCTTGGCTTATATAAACCTTGGCTTAGCTTACTGAAATGCCCCTTCCCGTGATGCATTTTATCATCCTATGCAGGCACAATATGGATGGGCACAATATGGTAAACAAGATTTCTTCCCTAAAAAATCATTCATAGGATACAGTTTGCCTTACTGCCCAAGCACTCACAGCCAGTCTTGGCCCCTCGCCCGGTACACAGACATATTCTAAAATATATTTGAATGGAAACTGACTACAAAAGGAGAGTTATTGATTGTGTTAATGGAGAAGAATATTACTGATGTTGTTTTGAGACATGATCTTATTATGTAGCTCAGGCTGCCCTGGAACTCACCAGGTAGACCAGGCTGGCTCAAACTTCCAAAGATGCACCTGCTCTGCCTCCTAAGTGCTGGGATCAAAGGTGTGTGCCACCACATCCAGTCCAAGGGGAGTATCTTATTCCTTTGTTTGGAGCATGATGTGTGGGGAATGAATGAGAACCTGAATGAAGGTGTATTATTGAGATGAACACAGCCATATCAAGAACCCTAGCCTCTCAGACCAATGGGAATGGCAAAATCTTCTTCTGATCCAAGTACAGATATTATCAACAATTGATCTTTTGCCAAAACTAATATATGCAGAAAATGTCAACCACAGTTTCCTCCTCTCCAATGACTACAACTTGAAATTGTCCCCCTACAGAGACCTCCTACCAAGATGATCTAACCTACCTCCTCATTCAGCTGTAAACTGACTACCTCAAATGTGCTGAGTTTCTGGGTTGCAGCTGATATGTCTTCATTGGATCACACTACCCATGAAATCCCAGCTTTTATGTACATGTGTCAATCCATTTTTCATTCCTTCATCACTCTAGTCAGGACAACTCTAAAACCATGCAGGTGATGTCAGGGGTGCACAAACAATCTGATGCAGTAGATGATCTTAAGTGGCTAAGTACATTGTTAGGAGAGGCGTGTGCAAGCACAGGATATGCAGGTGAGGGTTCCTAGGTTGACAGGGTGTGTGTACAGCCCAAGCCAGGTGGAGTCCCAGGTTGTTTAGCTACTCCCTGTGCTTGTCTAACTTACCAAAGTAAAACTAACTCTTTGACTTTGAAGCAGAAAAGTATTTCACAGAAAGCCAGTCTAAAGCAGAATTGGAGTTTACTAAATACAGATTTTTAAGCTCAAAATTAAGAGAAGGAACAAGGCCCTAGAGCAGTGGTTCTCAACCTTCCTAATGCTGTGACCCTTTAATATAGTTCCTCATGCTGTGGTGACTGCCAAACATAAAATTATTCCATTGCTACTTCACAACTGCAATTTTGCTAATGTTATGAATCATAATGTAAATATAAATATCTGATATTCAAGATATCTGATATGCAATCCCTGTAAGAGTCTCCACCACTGCTCTAGAGAAAGCATCAGGGTGGGCTCCTCTGAGAGTTTCATTTCATTATCTTTTAGTAGTCAGATACAGACCTGGTGTGGTAGGGTTTGAAGCTATTGTACCCCAATGAGTTCCTAAGAACCTAAGTAAGAACACAGCTGGTCCCTGAAGGGCCCCTGATGAGATTATGGTTGATACAGTTCAACTCTAGATCAGAGATATGTGGGAAGGTAGACTGACTTTACTGTAAACAAAGTGAAGTGACTTCTTAGATTCTGCCAGGAAAAAATACAAAGGAAAAGGAATGAGACCGTTTCAAGGTCATGTAAATTCACACCCTCGGCCTGATTTACCGCTATCTTAACACAAAATATCATATATGGAAACAATGATAAATCTATGTTACTAGCCATCACAGGAAAAGTGTGTGGTGCTGGATTCTCCCTTCTCATCTGTCAAGAGGCTTCAGTCAGACTCCAAGATAAGGGGTTTCTTTCCCTTCTTGTGTCCTCATATTTTACCCTGCCTTTATATCTTGCCTTAGGAAGACATGGAAGCCAGCAAAAGGAGAGGCCTTCACATAGTCAGCAAGCACTCATCTGTTGTGGAATATTCCTTTACACTGTGTGGAGATGTGTCACTGTGGTTGGTTTAATAAAGATCTGAATGGCCATTAGCTAGGCAGAAAGAGGTTAAGTGGGATTTCTGGGGACAGAGAGCTCAGGGAAAAAGAAAGGAGGAGTCATGAGCCAGACACAGAGAGAGCAAGACATGCAAGAGAAGAGATAAAAGCCACGAGTCACTTGGCAACTCGTAGATGAATAGAAATTGGTTAATTTAAGTTATAAAGCTAGTGGGACAAACCTAAGTTATAGGTTGAACTTTCATATTAATAAGAAGTCTCCATGTAATTTTTTTTTTGTGAGCTGGTGGCCCAAAGAAAAGTCCAACAACACTCATCCATGACCTACTGTGGGTGCCTGACAGGACCTCATAGACCCCATCCTTGATGTTAGCCTTGATTCTGGAAGCAGTGATGCCATCAAAATATCCCCAGCAAGATTCCAGGCATAGGTCCATTCTGGCATACATCTGCAATGACAGAGGAAAGGTGTGTCCAGCTGAGCTTTCCAGTCCAGACTTGCAGAACTGCTATGGATGTGTCAGGTGAGAGTACAATGTCAGGGCCACCCATGGAAGCAATTGAGGAAACACTATTCCTATCCCAGCTGGGAGTGGAGGCAAGACAGTATACCTATGCTTAGAAGGAGCACTTGTTGCTATTGCAGAGGATCTAGGTTCAGTTCCTAGGACCGGCATGTGGCTAACACCCATCCATAACTCCAGTTCCAGGTGATTCGGTGCCCCCTTCTGACCTCCAACAGCTCCAGGCACACATTTAGTCCACAGACATACATGCAGTCAAAACACTCGTGTACATTAATTAAATCGATTCAAAATTAATGCAAACAAAAGACCATGAGCCTTTTGGAGTGTTAACCTTGGAGCAGTATGTTTTTAGGTTGACTGATACCAACTCCAAAGCCCAATAGAACCAGGCTTCTGCACCTGAGCCCTCTGAAAGACGAAGGGAAATCACTGAGCTGAGCTTAGAATAACCACAGTGACGACTGGGCAGGTTTGTGTCACAGCACGGGCTGGTTCTTAACAGCTGGCTGCGATTATATTAATTTCCTTTCCAATGGATTTCCTGCCAGTCACATGTCTGTCAGTCCCCTTCCAAGCATCACGGGAAATAATGGGGAAGAAGCATGAGGCTAAAGAGGAGGGGACACCAGCCAGGGAGGTGAGCAGAGGACACCAGTATGATAAAACTGCAAGATGCTTGGCTCCCTCCTCAAAGCCTAATCCTACCAGCATCCTGATTTCAGGGGCTCTGTCCATCTAATACCCAGTGGAGCCCTCCTAAAGGTAGAGGATCCTGCACAGGTCTGCAGTGCAGACAGGGCCTTTACATGCTAGTCTCCTTTAGTGCCCTGGAGAGACGTGCAGGCTGGTCTAGGCTTGGCAAGAGCTGTCTGGGAGAGCAGAGGACATGAACTTCCAGGACGCCAGGGGAGCCCTGAAGCAGGTCACTCTCCTGTTCAGCCTCGGGAGTCTCACCCTTAAAATGACAAAACAGCTCAAAAAAAAAAAAAAATTAAAAAACAAACAAAAAAAAAATGACGAAACAGATGTCAGTCTCCTTCATTTCATAAGTACTGTGACCAGACTCCTCAGTCCCAGCCACCCAAGACCAGAGGTTGAGGCCAAAGATTTCATCGGTATTTAAAGCTATTTATCATTTTCACACTTATTTATTTTGAGACAGAAAGAATGAAATGAGTCAGTCTCGGGAGGGGAGTGTCAATCTTGTCAGGGTCTTGGAGTCCAACTCAAAAATTGTCAGGTTTGATTGCAAGTGCTTCTAAGTGCCGGGCTCCTGCCAAGGGACCCCGAGCTGATGTTGGCCCCCGCAGGGTGGGAAGACACTGAGACCAAAGAGAGAAGGCCCTCCAGCGAGGCAGCTGGCCCTCTCAAACGCGGCAGCGACGAAGGCGTCAAGGGATATGCCTTTTCAAACACGGCGACCACAAGTAGCAAGGAAGCGCCCGTCTCAAACATGGCGGCCACAGAGGCATCAAGGGATGTGCCTTTTCAAACATGGCGCCTTATGTATCAAACGGAGCGCCCTTCTCAAACATGGCGGCCGCGGAGGCCTCAAAGGTTGCGACTTGTTCAAACATGGCGGCCAGACATGGTGGACACTTGCATCCAAGGAAGCGCCTCTTCTCCGTGTGGCGGGCACGTCGCCCGCCCGGCTTCCGGCGCTCCGCCCTTGGCTCAAGTTCCCGGAAGCGCATTCAGCCCGCTGTCCAGAAGGACCGGCTTTGTTTGGGGCACGTGACCTGGGGACGCCGCTCTGTGATTGGCCTCGGGGCGGTGACGTCAGACGCAGCGGCGGCGCGCGCTGAGCCGCGCGATTGAGACTCTGCGGAGAAGCGTTAGGCCGGGGCGCTCACTCATGAGGAGCAGGAAGGTGAGGGGCCGAGCACCCCCTGGGGAGCCGACGAGGGGCGGGCGCCTCCCTCGGCCCCGCCTGGCGGTGGTTCCTTCCCGGGGTGCCTTAGTTTCCCCAAGCTCCGCCCCTGGGAGTGGAAGACCCCGCTCCCTGCACCCCATTCCACCCCGCCCCTGGCGGAGGAGACCGGCGTCTCCCGCCTGAGTGTGCAACACCACGGACCCTGCCCCGGGAGTGGGGCTCCAGACCTGCGCTCCGCCCGCAGTGCGGGATGCTGCCCTGGCTGCCTGCCCCTCCGCTCTGCCTGCACATGGGCATGGTGCGCTGACCTCAGCCAAACCCCTGCATCATGGTGATTGGGCAGAGGACCAGCAGTGGGACAGTAGGGAGGGTGACTGGGACTCTGACCTGGCATAGCAGTGAGTTCCAGCTCCTGTTACCAGTGTCCTTTAATCTGACGTGTGTCCGCTGTCTGCAGGCGGCCGAAGCCCAGCCTGGCGTCCGGCCTTTTGGTTGGACTGTGGACGTGTTTATGTGTAGTGTCGCCGATAGGTCACGTGTTAGTATTGTCTTTTGCATTCCAGACTTAAGGGTTGAATTTAATAATTTTTCACGATGCTTTTTACTTCCTTGTGTGGGTGTCTTCAGGATTGCACTGCCTCGATTCCAGGGAGATACAGAATGGTCTAACTCGTGCGGTTCTCGCCCCACCTTCTGTGGTATTGTGTTGGACATCTATTGACAGTCAGCCTTGCTCTCATTACTCACTTTAGCCCCTTCTTGGGCCAGCAAGGCTCCCTCATACCCACCCCCTTTGTTGCTGTTTGCATTTTGTTAACACGTTGCCCTTTGAGAGAAGTGTGTAAAATATTCTGTATAAGGACTTCCCTTGGGGGGCAGTGCTCCTGTGTGTATTTGGGTTTCTGTTTAGGTCACTAGCTTCAGCTGGAACTCCCAGCAGCTCTAAAGCAACAGTCCTCAGTTGGCACCTGGAAATTCCTGTATCCCTGCCTTCATTTTACAGGACGGGTTTGCTGATGGGGATTTTGTTTAATTAAGTGCACCAAGTGTACTCACTGTGGCTCCCACTGTTTGTGAAGAGTAAGGGGTTGGTTTCTTACCAGTTCTTCCAAGATTAGAACTGTTCCGGGGATGGTCTATCCGTGGGCTTTTCCTTCTCTCCCCGTTGTGTCACAGGTGGCCTGTCACCTTGGAGTTGAGTTGGTTAAGATTCCTCAATGTATAGACTGTTTTCAGTAAACAGGTTTTCCGCTATCATTTCTTCTAATACTTTTTCTGCTCTCTTTCTTTCTTTCTGGTTGTCCCTTACACGTGTGCTGGTGTGTGAATTTAAGGCCAGCCTAGACTGCCTAGAGAGTCCTCGGTCAGCCGGGGCAATAAGACGAAGCGTGAGACCGTTGTGTGTGGTGCTACAGGCTGTGGCCCCAGCACTCACGGAGCTAGGGCAGGTGGATGGATGGAACGTCAAGACCTGTCAGAGTAATTTAACGAAACTTTCTCAAAAAATAGTTCTTAAGGGGTGGAGTTGGGAGTGTGGCACAGTTGGTAGAATGGTTGCCTGGCATGCATGAAGCGGAGTTCATTTCCCTGTCCCACATAAGCCAAATGTAGCAGCTCACATCTGTAACCCCAGCACTTGGGAAAGAGAGGCAGGCTCGGGAGTGCAAGGTCCTTATTAGCTGCATAGCAAATCTGAGGCAGCCTGGGATACGTAAGACCCTGTACTGAATAAAAGAGGTGGGCTGGAGCTATAGCACAGTGGTAGAGCTTCTGCCCAGCAAACAGTAGGCGCTGGATGCCACCCCAGAATAAAATAATAATAATAAAAATATAAGACAGAAGCTATGTTTCATAGGATTGGGCCCAATGAAGGGGTAGAGGAGAGTGTGGGAGCTGGTGTTTCTGTCTCGTGTTACTTTTGTCAGGGACTTTGACACAGATGTTAAGTTCGTGTCCACTTACTACAGTGCTGGTTCTTAGAAACATACAAGACAGGGGACTGATGGTCCTGAGCCTCCACAGTAGACAAGTGGACACAGCCAACCTTGCATCTTTTATTTCTGATTAAATGTGTGTGAGTGTGTGTGTGTGAGTGTGTGTGTGTGTGTGTGTGTGTGTGTGTGTGTGTGTATGTGTGCTCGCGCGCGCGCGCGCGAATGCTGTACCACATGTGGCATGTACCACAGCACAGGTGAGGCCAGAGGACAACCTACATAAGTCGGTTTTCTTCCACTGTTTGGGTCCTTAGGATTGAACTCAGGCCCTCAGTCCTGGTGACAAGCCCCCTTTCCCACTGAGCCATCTCTCTGGCCCTGGACTCTGTGTCTAAACCTGGATAGCTGAGTTGAACCAGCCTGGGCCATAGCAACCTTTGTTTGTAGGTGAGGGGATGTGGGTACGCCTGAGACTCTGAGCTGAGAACGCGCAGCTCTGTGCTGGCACTCTGCCATATGCTTGCTCTCTGAGCTTCACTCTTGTCTAGCTCACAGGTGGAGTGCGATCCTCAGCACGCCTTCGGGCCCGAAGTAACTCTTCAGCCAGCTCGGCCTCTGCCGAGGACATTGCCAGCTCCACATCTGCCAAGACAGCATGTCTGGTGAGCTTCATTACCGGAACACCAAGGCCTTGGCTCCATCCGTTTCTGCCGTTGTCGCTCTCTCTGAGACATGTTGCGTAAACACAAGCCATTGCTGCTGTGTATAGCCTGGAAGACATTCCAGAGGCCATGTGACAGTGCCGTCACTGCTGTCAGAGAGAGGTGCCCGTTGAAATGCAGCTGAGTTTGCTTTTGTGCACCATGCACGTGCGTGTATGGAAGTGTGCTAGCCATGCAGACACTAAGGCACAGCTTTGTGCACTGTGCCACTTGGAAGGTGGCCTGTGCAGCCATGTGAGTCTGTCACCTGCCTCACCCCTAGAGCTGAGAGAGGGTCAAGCAACAAGGAAAGGACTGTCATGTGGTTGTTGAACATCACAGTGCAGCCGCCCTAGTCCAGGAAACCTCATCCCCAAACTGACGCAGCTGGGGCCAGGGGCACACCTCCACCTCTGGCCTCGCACAGCGCTTACTTGGGACAGCATGCTGCCACTTTGCTGAAGCTAGCCTGAGTATCTGCTGACCTCCTACAGTCTCCAGGCATTGGTGATGGATAAAGCAAAGAGCTGAGAGCTTGCTTTGAGTGGGGAGATGGAAACTGGGTTCTTCTACATGATTTTTAAAATTATATTTTCATTTATTTGAGGGAGAGGCACACATGCTATGGTGCTTATGTGGAGGTCAGAGGACAACTTGCAGTAGGAGATTTTCTCCTTCCTTCATTTGTGTTCGGGGATATAATTTGGGCAGCAGGTGCCTTTATGCTCTAAGCCATCTTGAGTGTCCCTACTATGATTTTAAAGCAAGCAAGCATGTACTTCAGGAAAAAAAGCCCTGGGAAAGCAGATTGCTGGAGTGGGGCCGTGGAGTCCTTGTGCCCCTTAGCAGCAGGACAGATAATAACTGGTGGCAGAGGAAGAAGGGGGGCCTCTGGGACTGAGCCCTGTGCCTTTGCCAGGTCTGGTTTTCTCTTACATTTTTCTTCCCTGGCAGGCTTCCTCATCACACAAGACTACAGACAGACGCACTTCCAAAAAGTTCAAGTATGACAAAGGTCACCTTGTAAAGGCAGAATTACAGAAAGCTGACCCTAAAAGTGACACTTATTCTTTGCCAAAAGTGGCCCCTGTGGCCCCTTGTGAAAATGAGTTTGCAGAGGGCAGTGCTGAGGCTACTGTCCCTGCACCGGAGAGTGAATCGCCTCCCCAGGGCTGCTCCCAGCCTGTGAGTGAGGAGCCCTCAGCAAAGACTGAAGATGCCCTGCCCACGCCAGAGCCCAGTAGCGCTGCCGCAGCACAGGAGCCTGATGAGAGCTCTGCCCAGCAGACGGCGCCTGTGCCCAGGACAGAGGAGGTGCAGGCACCTGTGCTCCAGATGGACAGCAGCGTCTTTCTAGATGATGACAGCAACCAGCCCATGCCTGTGAGTCGCTTCTTCGGGAATGTTGAGCTTATGCAGGTAAGTGTTACCTCCTGACTCTCCTGCAGGGCCTGGGCGACAAACTGCAGCTACCACCATGTGCTCCCAGCACTGTGTGCCCAGAATGCCACAACACAAGGGTAAACATAAATGGATCAGGTTCATGCAAGAGGAGAAAAAGAAAATGAGCTATGTGCTATTTGGAGGTGCCTCCCTCACACCACCCCTACTTTCCCAGGGCTCATAAACTGGGAAGCAGCTCTGGTTAAGGCTGGGGAGGCAGGATCCCTGGCTGCAGCCCCCTGGGTGTGTCTTGGACCTCATACAAGGTTAGGAAGTTAGATCTGTGATTTTGTGAACATGTAACCATGTTTCTGTTGCTATCTCTAGTTTGGAGCATAGCATCTTTCCTACCAAGGGACCTGTGCCTAGACAGACTTCCCATGTCTATAACAGAGGCCAGCTCTGCAAGGCCCAGAGCAGACCGTGGTCAGGTTAGGATCTGGATGCCCAGGCAATGTCACTCAAGACTGAAGTCATGTTTTCTTCCCCTCAAGGATCTGCCACCAGCCTCTTCATCTTGTCCTTCCATGAGCAGACGAGAATTCAGAAAAATGCATTTCAGAGCCAAAGAGGATGAGGATGAGGATGATGCGGAGATGTAGAATGGTGTCTTCATCTGTTCGGTAGTTCACAGTCGGACGATGCAGCAAGTTTTAAGATTTCTGTATGGCATCTCCAAGAGAACATGCTCTTAATTGAATACAGAATTGACATGTCACCTGCGCAGACACTCGGCTCCTATGGACGGGTTCCTTATGACCACAGGTTGCTGCCACCACTGCTGTACTGCCGTCTTTTCCTCCCTTCTTAGATGTGCCATCCTGGCACAGGTCAGCAGGGGGCTGGGCAGTGGGAAATAAGGAAAATTCCTGAGTGTTTTGGTTTTGGTAACGCAAGCTTCCTTTCCATGCCAAACTGATCACTGGAGATGAATTCAGTTTCTTCTGGAAGGACTCCTGTTTCTGAGGGAAGCTAATCATTTATCTTATAGTTTTTGCAAAGTGCATATGAGAAGGAAATAAAATATATTTTGAAAATACTTTTAAGGAAATATTATATCCCTAAAACTGTCAAATATTTGAGAACCATGGGAAGAAATGAATGGGGTCCAAAGCTGGGACCACCCTTCAAGCCCATTAGCTAGCAGGAGATGCAAGGCCCTTGGTACAGGCTTTGACCAAGAGGTATCATGACAGCCCCTTCCCTGCTCTGCTGGGGCTGAGGCTAGCCATGTGGGTACTGGGAATTGAACCTGGGTCCTATTCAAAAACAAGTGTTCCAGGCCTGTAAGAAGTTCTCAGTTCTGCTCCTGTTCAGATAGAACTGCCCCGCCCCGCCCCCCAAAAGCTAATGTTCCCTACCGTCATTCTCAGCTTCCACTGAGATCCTTTCTCATTAGCTGTGATCTTCACCTACTCAGTTTTGTGATTTAATGACTGATGAACAATAATTTAAAGCTGTTGCTTGTGGTCATCTTCTGATAGTCAGGGATTATAACGCACAGCCTTAGATTGCTGGGCCCCCAGAAAAGACACACCAGAGTTCCTCAGTGGGACAGCTGTGTGGTTCTCACCAGTAGACTTCAGTAAGAATCCTTAACCACAACATGCCTACCAAAGAGACAGGCATGCCATGACCAGCAAAATGGGGAATGGAGCTTGCTTCAATCCTTTACTTAGAGCCCACCCTGCTGATGGATACTGGGTAGAAAGAAGCACCAGGACTAAGTGCAGCAGGCCTCAGCAGGTACCACCTTTCCCTGACTGGCCCCATAACTCGAATGCAGTCAGCGCTATTTCAGCAGAGTCATCCAGCCTTGGGACACTCACAGAACCCTTTCCTTGTGGAATTGGAAAAGTCTGTTGAGATGGAGGTAGTCACAGACCTAACTTCCTTGCCTGTCATGAGATGGAGGAGTTGCCAGAACCCAGGTATCCTCTGTGAACGTACAGACAGGGTGGAGGGTAGGTGTGGAACATCAGGCACAAAAGGACACAGGGAGAGGGTCCAGCAGTGTGTGCTCACCGAGAGTCCACAGCAGCAGAAGCAAATAACTCAAGAACAAATCGACAAAACCCAAACAGGGCCACCAAGCTGGCTCAGCATGTAAGGGTACTTGCTGCCCAGCTTAAATATGTAAGTTCACTCCCCAGAACCCACATGGTGGACAAAACTGACCTCCACAGGTTGTCCCGACCTCCACAAACATGCCATTCTTGGCATGTGAGCACGCCCACACACGCACACAAATGTCTTTAAATCTTAGTATTTAAACACATTAAAGCTGTTATTAGAATCTACTTGGGGAGATATACTAGGTTAAGAGCCTGAGCCAGCCAGCTGTTACAAGAGTGACTTACCACAACCTTGACAAAGTCTATACAAGTGCCAAAGCCAGTTGAGAGTCTGCAGATGGCCCTGTGGAGGCTCCCGTCATGGACACCTGTGACATGGCCCTGTGGAGGCTCCCATCATGGACACCTGTGACATGGCCCTGTGGAGGCTCCCGTCACAGACACCTGTGACACAAGCAAGCCTGTCTTCCCAGTGCTGCAGTCCTGGGGCTGGCCTCCCGGGACTCAGGAACCAGTGACCACAGCAAGGACACTGAAGCCAGCAGCTAGCTGCATAGGGAGCGAGAGCAGGTCCAGAGGAAGTCAGTGTGTTTCCAGGTACCCTCCCCGTGGAGTCCTGTCATTCCCAAGACAATGGAAGACAGCCCAGTCAGGTCCTAGATATTTTTGGAGGTCAGTCACCTTGCTGAAGACCTGCTGTTCCCACTCCAATCTCCCTGCAGGTCAAATGGGCCATGGCCTGGGACAGACAAAATTCACCCAGCAGGGCACCCAGGGTGCTGGCTCCTGCAGGAGCTTCCTGAAGACAGGCCCTTCTTTGGACTCAAAGATTTAAGCCAAAAACTTTCCTAGATGGCTTCAGTGGCTCTGCCTTGCTTAGGTGTTTATGCCCACCCCTTCTACATCAATTGGCAGTACCTCTCCCTTCAGCTTGAGTAGTTGAGACTCCTTAACCTTGCTTGGTCCCAGTCTTCTGCTGCCTCTCACTGACTGTGACTCAGCCATAGTGCCGAAAACACAATGAATCTGTGTCACTACGTATTTTTTTGGTTCACTATTTTTATCCTGGGGTTTGCTGCCTACATTATCCTGGGAGTCTGGGGGCTTGGGTGACAACTCCTGTCTGTGATACTTCTCATCTGTACCCACCACTCCATCATTCTGACCAGCTGAGGGCCCAGAAGCCGGCAAAGCATGTCCCATCAAGGACAGCCTTCTGGCTTTCACTCAAAGCCCATTTTTCATGTCCAGCTGCAACAAGTGTGGATTTCTACATTTCTACATCAGGAGGGTGCAGAGCAATCCTCCGCGAGGCACACTGGCAGGGGTGTGTATAACAGGAGGCCACAGATGTCCAACTTGGGGCTGAAGGGAAGGCTCAGCTGCTAAGAGCAATTGCTGCTCTTGCAGGGGACCCAGATTGGGTTCCAGCACACACATGACGGCTTACTTACAACCCCCTGTAATTCCAGTTCTGGGGTAAACAATGCTACTGGCCCCTGGGACCTGCAAGCACATGGTACACTAGCATACACTTAGGCACACACATGCACATAACAAGTGTCAAACTTCAGAGAGCCCAGTTCTGGCAGCAGTCCTAGCAGGGGGCAGTGACCTTGCATGTCCATGATGCTTGAAGAGGGCAGCCCTTTTCGAGAAAAATGGAAGAAAACACACTGTGAACAGTGTGCATCCAAGACTGTAAAGCAGCACGGTCCTCTGAAAGCTCCCCACCGGCCTGAGGCACTGCCATGCATTCCTGTGAAGACGGACTCAGCCGGGGCAACGGTTCAGTCACCAGCTGCTGGTATCAGACCCTTAGCTCCATCCTCCTCAATACATGCAAACTCTTGACATGTTTATTTTGGAAACCCTTTATTGTTTTTCTGATTATATGGCAAATGTAAAAATCCAAACATTACAAAACATATAAAATACTCATTAAAAAAAAAAAAAAAACTTGGCTGGGCATGGTAGCACACATCTTTAATCCCAGCACTCAGGAGGCAGAGGCAAAACTCTGTAAGTTCAAGGCTAAGCTGATCTAATAGTGAGTTCCAGGCCAGCCAGAGCTACATAGTGAGATCCCATCTCAGAAGAAAAAAACAAAACAAATCAAGTACTATAAAAAACATGGTGTAGGAAATTAGTACTTAGTGATCAAATCTCATCCTGCTGAATACCTCAGGATTACTGCTATCTCAGTGTGGCATTTCCTCAGACTGTCTCTGTGCACAAACTGACACACATTTAATATCAAATACCAGGTGTGGTGGTACACGCCTGTAATCCCAGCTCTAAGGATGAGGCAGGAGTATCATGAATTCAGGGTCATTCTCTGCACAGGTAGGCCATCTGTGCCTTTACCAGCTTCCCGTCTCTACACAGAAAAGCTTAAACATGCTCCAAATGAGCATACATAAATGTATCAATGTTGGGTCATGAGATTCATGACAGCCAGACATTATTTAACCCGTTAAAAACCATTTCACATGGCTCAAGATAATGCCACAGTCAGCTGATTGCACCAGGAGACATCCGGAAGGCTTCTCACCTGCCATTTTAAACAGTTTGGCAGAGAACATTCTCCATGTTCATTATGAAATGCAAACGTTTACCCCAGAGGCATGATTTCTTTCAGAGAAACATAGTCAGAGCTGCCATTGCAGTGGAAATGGTGGTCATAAAAGCTGAGGTTCAAACTAGCACCATCCCCCATTCCACAGTGGCCAAGTTCAGCCCTGGAGCCATGTGCATGAAGACCCTGGCACAGGGACACAGTGAGCACCCAGCACTGTCCTCTGCCCACTGGGCTGTCAGAGGCTGGGGAGCAAACCGGGAAGATGCTCAGATCTGTCCGAGACTCTTAAAGGCTTTTCTAGAACCTTCTAAGTGACAAAATGTAAGCTTAATAGCCCCATCACCACTGCAGTCACCTCACAGAGGGCTGGCATGTGTCACCGGCGCTTCCGAGCAGGCCTCTTCTTCTTGGATCCTGTCTGGGGCCGGTAGATCCTGCTGTGGTCACACTGCAGCTTGTGTGTGGTCTTCTTGTGGCAGGCAATGTGCACCAGCTTCAGGTTCTCAGCAGTGAAAAGCAGGCTGTAGAAGTACTCCCAGTTCACCTCCCGCCCGTCCTGGATTGCTTCAGCCAGCGTGGGCACCACGGTGCGCTTCTTCTCTATTCTGCCAAGTCAGGGGAAGACAGCCCATCTGCTGCCAGTGCCACACACCACAGGGCGCTGTGCACTTTCCCATCAGCCACAGACGCTCATAGCACAGTGTCTACCATAGCAAATACCCCTGCTGTACTGGTTAGATTTTTGTCAACTTGACACAAGCTAGGGTCGTTTAGGAAGAGGGAACATCGATAGAGAAAATGCCTTTATCAGATCGTTGTGTGTGCAAGTCTGTGAAGCATTTTCTTGATTGATTGCTGTAGGTAGGCCCAACCTACCCCTAAGCTGGTGGTCCTGGATTGTATAAGAAAGCAGGCTGAACAAGCCAGTAACCAGCACTCCTCTGTGGGCTCTGCATCAGTTCCTGTCTTGAGTTACTGTCCTGACTCCCCTTCATGATGAACTATAAGCTTTAAGATGAAATAAACCCTTTCCTCGTCCATTGCTTTTGGTCAGTGTCTCATCACAGCAATAGAAACCCTAATACAGCTTACAGGTGTTAAGATCTTGAGGATTCCTAAGGAACCCAAACTAGGACTATTCCAGAAAGGCAGAGGTGGTGAAATGGATGGGACTTATGGATGAATCAACCAGAAGAGCCCAGCACCATGCTTCATAAACTGGTGACATTGGCCTATCCCTGACATGGGCCATGGGTGGACATGGTCAGTGTGGCACAGTCCAGTACAAGCAGTGCTGCTTGTCTTATTACTTTGCAAACTTGAGTGATGGGCGCTGCTTTACATACTAAAAAGAATGCAAGAAGGTTGGGTTGCTCACATGGC